CCAAGAATTAGAGCCCTGAGTTTCCCAAGAGTGGACCCAAGAGGTCCCCAGCGTCGCCCAGGAGATCCCCAAGAGAGCTCCCAGGGGGCCCAAGCGGGGACTTCAGAGGCGTCCTCTGGATCCGAGAGGGCCTGCGACGCTGACAAGACTGTCCCCGACAGCCCCTGGAGAGCGCCACAACGGCCCAAGAGGGCCCCCAAGAGTCCTCACGCAAGAAGGCCGCAAGACGGCCTAAGAGCGCACCCCAGAATCAGTCCAAAGTCTTCTTCCCTTCCCTCTACCCCTGACCTCCCTCTCCTCAGCACTTGCACAATATGGATACTACTCGACTCTCTCCCGAGCATGCCCTCTGAGTGCTCGCCCCTCCTCCGTATCTTTTTTTGTTGACGCACACGATCTGCGCGACCTGGGCTCAATACCATCCTGTGGTGTTTGATCCTCGTTTCGAAGAGAGCGCCCTTGCGTCACTCGCTCCTCTTCCCCATCCCTCCTCCTCGGCCTACTCCCTCCTCCTCCTCCTCTTCCTCCTCTTCCTCCTCCTCTTCCTCCTCTTCCTCCTCCTCCTCCTCCTCCTCCTCCTCCTCCTCCTCCTCCTCCTCCTCCTCCTCCCTCCTGCTCCTCCTCCCTCCGTATGTCCATCTCGGCACGCCCCTCACACGCGTCGCGGCCCCCGAGGGAGCTCCAGCTAAGGCCCAGATGCTGAGGTTCGCACGGTGTCGGTGCCTCACTTCGGCACGCCATTCACACGCTTCCTGGCATTCTAGGGAGCTACAGCTAAGCCCCCTTTGCCAGGGTACGCATGGCGTCGGTGCCTCGCTTCGGCACACCATTCACAAGCCTCGCGGCCCCAGAGGGAGCTGCAGCGAAGGCACAAACGCAACGGTCCGCATGGCGTCAGTGCCTCGTTTCGGTACACCCCTCACGCCTCTCGTGGCCCCATAGGGAGCTCCAGCCGAGGCCATGATGCCAGGGTTCGCACGGCGTCGGTGCCTCCTCCCAGCACGCCCCTCACACGCTCTGTGGCCTCGCAGGGAGCTCCAGTTGGGGCCCAAATGCCAGAGTTCGCATTGCCTCGGCGCCTCATTTCGGCACGCGCCTCACACGCTCTGTGGCCTCACTGGGAGCTCCAGTCGAGGCCCAAATGCCAGAGTTCGCATTGCCTCGGCGCCTCATTTCGGCACGCCCCTCACACGCTCTGTGGCCTCACTGGGAGCTCCAGTCGAGGCCCAAATGCCAGAGTTCGCATGGCGTCGGTGCCTAATTCCGGCACGCCTCTCGTACGTTTCGTGGCCCCATAAGGAGCTCCCGCTGAGACAAATTCCAGGGTTCGCATGGCGCCGGTGCCTCATGTTCGGCACACCCCTCTCGCGTTTCGTGGCCCGCGTCGGTGCTGGGGAGAGGCACATCCCTCACAAGCTTCGCTGCCCTTCAGGGAGCTCACGCTAAGGCCCAGATGCCAGGGTTCGCATGGCGTCGGTGCCCCATTTCGGCACACCGTTCCCACGCTTCGCGGCCCCATAGAGATCTGCGGCTAGAGACCAAATGCAAGGGTCCGCATGGCGTCGGTGCCTCGTTTCGGCACACCCCTCACACGTCTCGTGGCCCCATAGGGAGCTCCAGCTAAGGCCCCGATGCCAGGGCTAGCCTGGCGTCGGTGCCTCATTCTGGCACGCCCCTCACATGTTTCGTTTTACATACGGAGCTCCAGGTTAGGCCACAATACCAGGGCTCGCATGGTGTCGGTGCCTCGCGTCGGCACGTTCATCACACGCTTCGTGGGCCTAAGGCCCCAATGCCAGGGATCGCATGGCGTCTGTGCCTCGTGTCAGCACACCCCTCACACGCTTCGTAGCCCCATAGGGAGCTCCAGCTAAGGCCCACATGCCAAGGTTCGCGTGGCGCCGAAGGCGGTACTCACAACGACTGCATATGATTGTATCCTTTGCCAGGTAAAGTGCGATCCGAATGTTTACTGCTTTTCTGTTTACGAAACTAAGAACATGACAAATATTCAACACAAGCAAAATTCAAAACCATAAATGTGTATATCTATATATATACTCACCTATACACAAGTATATAGAGAGATATGTCACACAACAACACTTGTTCTCGCTGCAGCGTGGGCCTCAATCTCGGATCGGCGATGTGCTCCCGTCGTTTAGAATGACGCTCCCGTCCCAGCGTGGGCCATTTTTCTGGCTCCCACAGATCTCGCAGGTCTCACTGGTCTCGTAGCTCACGCAGACCCCACAGGGCCACAGGCCCCACAGGAACACAGATGTGGCAGATCGTCACACAGGTCCCACAAGTACCACTGGTCTGACAGGTTCAACGGGTGCCGCAGGTCCCCCAGGTGTCACAGGTCTTGCATACCCCACAGGTCCCACAGGTCCGACAGGTCACGCAGGTCACAGAGGTCCCAGAAGTGTCGCATGTCTCACAGGTCCCACGGAGATCCCCCACGTCAATGTTCCGCCGGTGCCATGGGTCCCACAGGTCTTCCAGGTCTCACAGGTCCCACGGGTCCCACAGGTCACACAGGGTCCATATAACCCACAAGTTTCCCAAGTCCGACTGCGCACAACACGATGGAGTCTTTTTTGGAGTTCCAGATCGGCTATGACACGCGTCCGCGGATAGAGAACAAAAACATCGCAATGCCTCCTCCTCCTCCTCCTCCTCCTCATCCTCCTCCTCCCCCTCCTGCTCCTCCTCCTCCTCTTCCTCCTCCTCCTCCTCCTGCTCCTCCTCCTCCTCCTCC